GCTTGTTTTGATTGCGATTGGTTCTCGGTAGGCCTGCTATCTGTCACTGATAATTTCGCTCACGCCAAAGTGCTCAGTACCGTTTGAGTGTGTTCCCGAGTCATCAGTTGATCAGCCATCCACTGAACCCTAATTTATCCTCGAACAATGTTTCGAAGCAGACTTTCATTTCTGGTTTTGGTAGCGTTTGGCTTCGTCTTTTGGTATACGGATGCGGCAGTGTATAAGATGCCCCTGAGGAAACATACCAGTCAGCGTATTCAGATGATTCGCGAAGGTAAATGGGCAGCAGAGTACCGCCGACAACAAGAAATGAAGAAATCGATTGGACGGCAGTCCCAACGCCATCCAGAGGTATTAGTAGAAGTCGCTCTACAACCTATATGAGTATGAGTTTCTCAGTAGGGGGTATATTTGAGTAGACTCTGGGTGATTTGTGTGTGTTTTGAGTAGTGCTCTCCATCAGGAAAAGGCAGATGACGGGACATCTTTGTGAAGTTTATTTCCGTTGAGATAGTTCGAGCAGTGGTCGAAGTGATGTTCGATTTGACGAAATTTTGATTATGGATCTTGACGTTATGAAGTCAAAAATGGCTCAGAATTGATTATTGCGGAAAAAAGGGGCGTTTTGTGATCCTAGGTGACATTCGACTTGTTGATCTCTCTGGATCCGAAGTTTGACTGATGACGAAATTATTGACAATGTGACCTGAACAGGTCATAGGGTAACATTATCTTACGCAAATTGACTGTTTCCCATGTAACGGCTCTAAAAGTTTTGTAAATTCGCCTGTTGCTGAAATAAGATCTTGCACAAAGCCTCTGCCTCTCCGTCTAGAATCTAGACAACAACGAACACCTTTTGAGCAGTCGATAATCTTTACAAATTCACTGTTCATTTGAAATTCTCTATTGCTCTTTATAGGTGTACGTCTACAATGACTTCGAATATTCGGGCGCTATCACGATCGGTACCCCAGAGCAGCAGTTCAACGTTGCCCTTGATACGGGCTCAGCAATTCTCTGGGTACTTCATGCGCATTGTGAAAGAGTTTGGTGCCCCTTTTGGTGCCTGACATCATTTGGTTAGCTTTTTTTCGTTTGCAAATTTTACTGTCATTAACCATTGGCAACATTCCGCATTGTTCCTTCCTACAATTGTTGGTCGCGATAAATTCTTTCAATTATCCAAATGAAAATCGATGAAAACATCTAAAATTGCATCCGCTATGCACTTATCTACACGACAGACATTCAGTTTAATAGATGAAAGATACTCAGTGAATGTTTCGAGCGGTGCGAACACATCTTGTTCATATTTTTAACGGGCAGCGCGCGAGAAGAAAGGTTGAGAACCACTGATTTATTCATATTTAGCAACATTAATACCTTATTGATACAATGTCAGCGATAGCGCCCTTCCAAAGTACTACAGATTTGAACAGGCGTACATTTACAACAGATCTGCAAACATATATGTAGCTTAGTGGTGATTAATGATGTCTCTATACCACGTTTTTGAAAATTGTTCTATTCTGTTCTTTTGGGCTCAAAAACGGCTCTATTCCGTTCCAAACTGTTCCCTCCTCATTAGCGAACTGCTCTGTTTTATTCTATTCTACCACCCTTAGACTGTGCTGTACTGTTCTAACTGTTCTATTCTGTTCCGTCAGTCAGAAAAGCGAAACGATAAGAGTTGTGGTAATTAGGGTTCGGAACGTGGTTTTTTGGCATTTGCAGTGGAAAATGGGAATTATTCCGGGTGAGAGAAGATTGTCCACGGAGGCAGTTGACAGCTTTTGACTGTGATGATTGGAGGAAAGCGGGGGGTTTTGGGCTCTGGTAATCACCATCA